AAGAAAACATCCGGCGGGTTTCGGGGGTTCAGAGGGTTAAGTGAATCACTGTCTGTTTTCTGAAGAGTTGCATATATACGTAGCAGAGATTCTCTTGAAGAGCTCTCGAATATCCTGTCGTGTTAGCTCTGACAGGTACATATTCTTCCAAAAAGGAGAAGAATGGATGCTGTTTGAAGTGATTAATTACTGCTGTGGGGTTTTGCTCGGCTTAATTCACCACCAGTGGACTTGTGGCTTTCATGAAGTTTGCCCAGCCTGGGCTTTGTCTGTGATAATGACATAATTGCTGCTGAAAGCAGTTAATGAAGAATGAATAGACAACAAAGCCAAAGGGAGCATGGAGTGTTCTTTTTAAATGCCACCAAAGCCATTTAGTGGCTCCTCACCTCAGTCAATAGTAGCTGCAGCCTCTCACTGAACTGTCAAAAGGACATAAAGGTTCAGTGTGTCAGTTTTATGCTTGTAAGATTGTTGGATTGAAGCTAATGGAATAATATATGGTGTCGCCGCTCCAGAGATTTCTACATCCTAGAACACATGAATTTGTGCGACTGTACTTGTGTATGTACATATAACTATTGGTATCCTGCAGTGCACCATTACATCTTCATGGGTTTACATTAGCAGCACTAAGGAGTGTTTGTGTAAAGCTAGCTGGACATTACAGCTGCTATCGACCAACCTATGATCATGTATGTTTTATGGACGGGGGTTTTCCTTCTGTGCTGGAAGAATTAACTTATATAATAATATAATATTGCAGAATAAAATGTCCTCTGTCTACAGCATCACCCTGGTAGTGAAGTGACAACAAAAGAAACATATACAATAACATATAACAAATACTGCCCTGAAAGTATACGTCTATTTGTCCTGGCTGGAAAGTTCTGATGAGAATATACTCTGTTCAGCCACACTTAAGCCATCTGCATTTTGCATCCAGCTATATTCTCTGCTAGATGGACTATGTGTTTTACAATGGGGATCCCTGGTGGCATAATGTAGTCAGTTTGTCAAATCGTGTATTTCACTATTCAGATTCAGAAAGGAAGAAAGTGAAGATATGCGAGACATTGTGTTTGAAATGATGAATTTCTGCTAAAAAAAAGAAAGGTGCCACTTCCCACAGGTGACGTACCCTATCGTGGAATGCACCTGATTGGTCCCTGGTTCTCTGCTCGCCATTCCAAACAGGAACATGGGGGGGCCTGATCGTAAACTTTCTGTTATTGCGTCTCGACAATCCTCCAGAATGTATTTCTGAAAACACGCACCTTCAAAACTAGCCTCAACTCTCCCACGATGCACTGCGCGACTGCTTCTCACTCTCCATAGGAAATGAATAGAAAGATTTAGAAGCTCTCTGTTGCCAGATCCGGTTGAAATGCACCGTTGGACATTTTTCTGAACACAGGAAGTGGTTGTGGCATCACACGGTTACAGGGAACATCACAAAGATAAAGCATGAGACTGGCGGTACTCTTTATTTTTCTTATTGTCCCAATAACAATCCTATTATAAAAGACCAAAAGCCATTAATTAATTTATCTTACTATCAAGAAGAGATGGGTTTCCATGGAATTCTTCAATGGAGTCCAGTTCAAAATCTGCTCATCGGAAGTGAATCCTTTTGTTCTGTAAAGTTCTTACTTTAACATGATGTGCGGTTGATACAAATTCAGGCAGGGATTCAAGAAGTTGTTGACTTTGGTGAAACACATCCTCACATTGGAACATTTAAGTTCAGGGTCAGTCAGTCAGTCTTATTATCTCCACCAGGAGATTATGCATTCCGCCGTGCGTGTGCAGCTCTATGTCTGTCTGTCCACGACTGATCTCACATACTAGCGGACCTATCAGCCCAATATTTACTGTGCTCAGTTATGACTAAGCATAGAGCTCTATTGTTGTCCAAAAACTACAGAAACACTCCAATGAGCGATATGTTTTTGGTGATGTTCCATCATTACCATGTATACATACACACTGAGCCTTTTAAAAACATGAAGTCAAACAGTATAGTATATTTGTGTCTTTTTTACAGAGGATTGCAGAAAGTATTTAGAGATGCACTCAGGCATTGGTTGTTAATTGGTTTTGGTCTTTTCATGGAATTCTTCAAAAATATTCAATTTATAGAGCAACACCATCTTAATCCTTTAATCTGGTAGACAAATTCACCACATTTGGGCATCCTGGTGTACCTACTGCTCAAACAATTGATGCCTTGCAGTGTAAGTAACATTAGGTCGACCGTGATAAGCTTTTTCTCCAACCTGTGTTTACTTACCTTAAATCCCCCTCTCCGGTAATATCTTTTTGCGTCAGCATAGGCTGTCAGGCAAATGACAACTCACTGACGTGAAAACAAGAACAAGACCTGCATTCATACACTTAAAAATAGCTTGACACTTTCTAGCTGTCAGAGGCGTTAAAAATGTATCTGTCACAGGCTGAGAGTGTGGACCCAAATGCAGGCACAGACCAGGGATTATAGGTGAAAGGTTTATTGACAGGAAACCAAGGGGGGGGGGGGGGGAGAATGACCAGAGCACCGCGGGAAAATCCAGGGAGGGTGAGGGTGGAATCCAGGCAGGAGGAGGTAGGGCAGGGCAGGCAGACTGGGGAACCGGGAGGATGAAAAAACTGCAGGAACAGAGAGACAGGGTTAAAGCACTGAAACAACACTTGGGAGAAAACTCTGAATTATCTTCAAACAGAGCAGCCAAGAACTACTCGCTACCACGTGAGCTGTAAACAACGATCTGGCGAAGAGTGGATGAAGAACCGGGGTAGATATACTGTTGGGTTGATGAGTTGATGGAGTGCAGCTGGTTTGACTGGGCAGGTGAGGTGAGTTGTAATTAGGAAGCCGGGAGGAGACCAGGTCGAAGCCCTGCCCATAAGATACACACACGGGACAAGCAGGAGGAACGGCCTGGCCGTGACAGTATCCAGCTTCAGTGAACACACAGAGCCAACAGAAAGCATCACAGCCCTGATGCTGTGTTGACTGAGCAGTGGAGACTGTCTGAAATAAACGAGGAGGACGTGACCTCAGGGGGAAACAGAGCATGGAGGCCATGTCATCAACTGGCGGTGGATATAATTCACATCATCAACAGGGCTGTAGTACATGGTGTTGTTCGACTTCTGTGTGAGCAGTGCTTTCACAATGCATTCTGTTTTTAGGATGTTAAATAGCTTTGACGCTTTTATATTCTCATAAAACGCTCCCCAATTTTACCTGGCAATCCTAAAAAAAATGATGAAGCAGATTGAAACACACACACTGCTGGCAGGATCTCTGATAACCATAGAGTGTAAACGTCCATACATACCTGTAGTCATCCCTTTCAGAGTGTTTACTTCAGTATTGAAGTAATCGGCTGTCTGTTAGTGTGAACATGACCTCCTCGCAGCCAAAGCAGCGGGACTCAACGATGCAGATTGGCAAAAAATTTAACAAATAGACTTTAACACGCTCCTGGTGGAATCAAATACGTACCTTACCAATGTGTGTAAAGAATGCTGATATGAAATATGAAAAACAACCAGCAGTCAATGTGCAAGCTGCCAATTGAATGGTGATTTAAGCCACTCTATTGGGTTCATATAGTTGTAAATGCCTCACCAGCCACCAACCTCACTGCACGTCACTGGTCTGTGGGTAATTCTTCCTCAGCATGCTGGGGAATCAGCATGCAGCAAAGCGAAGGGCCATGTGTGACAAATGACGCACCACTATGCTTTCACACAGTAAGCGAACAGCACCGTGTGTTTACACAGACACACTCACGCATGATTTCTTGTTCATTACCTGAAATACATCAAGCCCAGAAAAGGATACCCACTACTGTTTGGACACGCTGTTTACCCTCAGACAAAGAGAAATGGAGGTGGAATCAAAGGGCATGTACACAGCAGTGGGGGATACATAGATACGTCTGTATACTAAAGGCAGAGTTCACACTCAATAATTAACATGGAGTGTCTTTCCAGTCAGGCAAGAGAGGAGACAGACATGGTTGGAAGCTGGACAAATATAATCTGATATATAAATAGCCTAACCAGGACACACACACCCACACACACACACACACACACACACACAGGCTTCAGGGAAAAAACATCACTTTGACTGTCTACCTCAACTCAACTCACTGAGGCAGCCGCCAGTGCAGCTGATATCGTTACCTGGGGTGTCATGCTGCAGAGGAGATTTAGGGGGGCAAACAAACATTAGTCAGGAATACCCTCAAAGTGGAGCGGACTGGGGGGGGATTAATAAAGGATAGCAGGGCTTTGAAAACGCAGACGTTTTGAGCCGCTGCACGCTCCCTGAAAGCCCTTTGTTTAGCCTTTATTGCCAGTCGCCATCTGTTATGATCCAGTTACCAGATTGCCCTGAGCGACATCATCAATCCCCCCCCCCTTTCGGCTTTTGATCTGTAAAAGTAAGCCGTCCCTGACTCTGCTGTACTCACCAAGTCGGTATCTGTTCCGACGGATTGTTGGCTCCTGCGTAACCCCGAGGCTCCTCCACTGTCACGCTGGCCACTTCCCACTCCTCAAAGGAAGCAACGACCTGTCCTCGCCTTGGCGCGTCTCCAAAATAGACCACGCACACAGTAGCTTAAGTGACAGATTTCATTGCGCGCATGCAGCTGCAGCCGGTCTCCCACTATGATGTTGTGTTGCACTTTAACCGTGCAGCAGAAAAACGGGCCTGCACTGCGATGTCACCCTGTGACACCAACTCTCTGTGCTCTGTGATCCCTTTATATTTATATCAGAACCTGTTCAAAGGTTGATTTTCTCTTAAACATTCACCCGGCGTTCCCTCTTCTCCTCATCCAGTCACCTCTCACCTGCTCCTTCCCCGTCTCCTTCATTTCCCTCATTAAATTCAAACCCACCCGTACCTCCTCACCTCTCCGCTCGCCTCCTTTTTTCCGCTGACACGTCACCTCTGTGTCTCTGTCTCTCTCGTCCAGGCCGGGCCAGTCTTCACGGGAAGTCCTCCCTGCGGATAGAGAACGTGCGCTCAGACGACCAGGGCTGGTATGAGTGTAAGGTGCTGATGCTGGAGCAGCAGTATGACACCTTCCACAACGGCAGCTGGGTGCATCTGACCGTCAACGGTGAGTCCCATGAGCACGCTTTACTCACACTGTTCAACACTAACAGATATGTATACGGCACACATGTGGACTGATATGTAATTATAGGTATGTTGATTATTAGTGATATTGTTATTGAGACGTGCACAATCAATGCAAACACACACACACACACAGTATTGCAGATAAGATACACTCAGATGAACTGCTGTAATAATGTAGATAAGCCAGTGTCAATCTATAATTAATGAAGTCATTCAGTCATAAAGACAACTATTAACCAAAATGAATTCCTACATCAACAGAAGGATTGTGAGGCTAATGTTAAAACTATTCAAATATTACAAGAATGTTAAAGGTTAATCATTTCTCCATAACGCTGTTCTTTTAGTAACGGGATAACCAAAATGAAACTTGGCTGTCGTCTGGTTTAAGCTGAACTCCCGCTCTGTAACGCCACTGTTTCTTTGGTCCAAACAAATCCAACAGAGTGGGACGTCTTCTCTTTATCTTTTACCATGCCTCAGCATCCGCTTAGCCTCGGGGACAAATTGATCGGAATTTGGAGGTCAAAGGTCACCGTGACCTCACAAAACACGATTTTTGGCCATAACTCAAGAATTCAAAAGTAAATTATGACGATTTCAAAATGATGAAGTGACGACATTTCGGACAGACACGGAGTTAAGCTGCAACTTGACTGACCGGTTCAAGGCGTACAATCGTGAAGCGGTAGTTCTAGTTTGTATTTATAATATCAATAATTCAAGTTGATGAAATATTTTGAAACCAGGAACTCAAGCATTTGGGTCAAGTAGCCTGTAAAAAGGCTAGTAAGGCCTGTGTCAGGTTGAGTAGCTGCATCTTTATTACAATTCACCTACAAATATTTTTACTATCAATTCATCTTATTAATCTGATTATTTATCGACCGAGATACCAAACAAGATACGGGGGGCTTTGTTGAATCTCTCTCTGTCTCTACTGTCATCACAGTTTTTCAGATTCTTGACCAAAAAGTCGGCTGCAATCGCAGCATGAATGTCAAATTTCATTTGGAAAGCAATAATGTCAAGTAAGCACAAGGTCAAAGCTTAAATCCCCACAGAGAGAAGTCCACAGTATCATGACACTGATTATGGGTTATTGTTTGTGGCGTCTCACTGTCAGAACTAGAAGACCGCCAACGTTGTCCCTGAGACAAACACGCTCCCCTCCACGCTCCATCACCGATGACGTCTCCAGAGAAGAGCGCTGCACAAACACCTGAGCGTCAAATGAGTAACCCACACCAGTGTGAACGCAGACTATTCTTTCCTTCAGTTGGTAGCCCAAGCGTTCATCGAGACACTTAATCAGTCGGCATATGATGACGACAGTTGCTGTGGCAACAGACACACACCAGCTACGGTCCCGCACACGTGGTCACGGTGCATTAGCTCGCTTTCATCAGTGTTGCTCTTGGTCTGTTTGACTTCTCCCTGCCTCTTCTCTGTCTCTCTCTCTCTCTCTCTGTCTCTGTCTCTCTATCTCTCTTGCCCACTCTCTCTGTCTCTCTGTCTCCCTCTCTCCCTGTCTCTCTGTCTCTGTTTCTCTGTCTCCCTCTCTCCCTCTCTCTCTGTCTCTGTCTCTCTGTCTCCCTCTCTCCCTCTCTCTCTGTCTCTCTGTCTCTGTCTCTCTGTCTCTCTGTCTCCCTCTCTCCCTCTCTCTCTGTCTCTCTGTCTCTGTCTCTCTGTCTCTCTCTCTCTCTGAAGTGCTTTGAAGGCCTCAGGCTTCCTCCTCTGCCTCTTTTCTCTTTCTGTCTCCACGTCCATCACTCCTCTGCTGTCCTTCAGTGTCTTGGTGCCGCAGCAGACATGAGCCGAGGCACTTGTGTAGACAAGCAGTGGTGTTGTACAGGGCACAGCTGACTGGGTTGCTAGTTCTACCAAAATGAAGAGGTCAACTTTGGTCAGAGATGTGCCGACATGGGAATAAATGACTGGAGTTGTCAGTTTATGATTCAAAGTATGTAGACATGTCAAACCAAAAATGAATTGTCAATGTCTTAAATAATGAAATAATGAAAACTTTATTGTATTGAGGCTTAATTTACACAGTACTTTTTGGCCGTGCAGAATCAACAAATGACAAACTGCAGGTTGACACTACAAGTCCAGTTTTGAAACATGATCCCACTACAACTCTACACATCGGATGAACTGTACATCTTACTGTAATCACTGCGTCCTCCCTGAGGCTTGTGTTGAATAGGAAATGTGTTTAAGTGAGGAGATAGTTGTGAAATTAAAGACACTATTGTGTTTGTGGCAGAGTTTCTAGTGTTTCAGCTCTTTCCTCAGGAGAAAAAAAAGAAGCTAGGTGTCAGTGAGAAAACAGCCAGTGTGGGTGGGAGGTCAATATAAGAGCATAACTACAGTATACCAATAAAACTGAGAGCTTTTTCCCCCTTAAAAATAGTAGCATATAACATGGTATGTGTTGTGTAAGTGGAAAAAAAGATGGTTGCACCCTGTTAGTTTATAAAAACAGGTAGAAGAATGCAACCACACTCACCCTCCTGGCTGAGCAACAGTCATGGTGACCCATATGATGCAAGAGTTCTCCTTCGTCGCGTTTCGAGCCATCTCCGAGGAGATGGAGGTTCACAGGGAGGACAGGAGGCGGCGTGGGAGCCGCAGCTGCATTGAGTGCTATAGAGATGTCCCGGTTCTCTCACAGCCGAGGTCGGCGACGCCGAGGAGGTTTGCTCGGGGAAATAAAGGTCCTTCGATGGAGAGACTTACAGCAGTGAAGCGGAGGCAGGGTCAGGGGGGGTCCCGTTGCTTCACTGTTTTGATGATGTCATCCACATGCTGGCAAAATGTCCAGCTTTGGCAGCGGTGTTCTACACCATGGTAGACATATGTAGGTACACAATCCAGTGATCTGTGGCTGTAGAAGTTTTGATGCGGCCGCCAAAGCGTAGTCTGATTCGCCGGATGTAGACTGTGGGTATAGGCCCGCCATTGGCCGCCCATTTCAGCCGGTACTGTATTTTGCAAGGGACACCTTTGTTGTGCAATGTGCTTAGCGCTGCCCATGAAGATTGTGATTGGTTTAAAGAAATACGTTTTTTCCCTCAAAGATGTAAAATATACATCGTCCTATCAGACAACCTTACGCTCATGGCAGCCAAGCAGCGTCCCTCCTTCTCTGCTGTTTGTATTATTTCACACTTCATTGTAAGTAACAACGTCACAGACTGAGAGGTCAGTTCCATGCCCTCTCTCAAACTGGCTGGTTATTGATTGGTCATGATTATATTGGAATCGGTCAATTTAATGTTGCACTCTGAGGAGAACTTTGCAGCTCTCCGAAGTAAAGGGCTATTTTTAAATCACATTCGTATTGTGAAGATCTTTGTCCAATAAGTGTCGATGGTAAATGTAGTTAATTAAAGCAATACATTCCTCAGCGCGTGCTATATTGATCCAGGAAGCTAAGTTCTCCTGTTAGCGGAGCCGACAGTGCCTACATGTACCAGGATGCATTGCGTGTGAGCATGCATGCAGTCACAGCCTCTCCCCGCGATATTTCTTCAGTCTCAGACTCTCTCCAAAAACAATGTTAAACGTCCAGAACATGCTCTGCTCTCATATTTACATTTTCACTCTTGGATAACCTGACTAGTTTACAATACAAGCAAAGAGATCAAGGAAGTTCTGTTTTTGAGCTGCCCAATGGCTACCCAGAGGCGCAGACTAGAAATCGTCCTTGAATCCAACTACGTCACTGTCACGTCAAGATGGCGGTGCTTGGATGCAGGATGAGCAACAGATTTATCAGCTGGGAACAGGGTCAATATAGCACGCACTGAGGATTTTATGAGCTTCAATCAACTACATTTCCCATCAACACTGATTGGACATCCAGATGAACGGTGGCTTTCTTTTTGACTGAGCATGTACATGCACAGAGGTGACCACAGAGGTGAGAAAATAAATGGTCAAGCCTTAAGAGCTCTGTTGGCGGTGAAGCCCTTGTGAAATAGAGCTGAAAGAAACTGTAAAACAAGAAAGAAAGGAAGAAAAGCCTTTTGGCTTACTTCTGATGGGGTTTAGCGTGATGTAAGAGGTGCTCTCTACATCTAGAGTAGATGAATCCACCCAAGCTTCACATCCTCACCTCCGAGTTTCCGTCGATACAGTGAAGTGTGCAGTCGCAGTGAACCAGTTGGCGCTTCCAGCGTCGGTGTACTCCCCTCAAGAGATAAAGCTGTGACTCCCATCATCTCAGTGCCTCTCATCGCCTGCCGCATTATTAGCATGAGTGTGTTGAATCCCTAACTAACTGCTCCAGCACCGTGTGTAATGTGTGGCTAATATCTTTTAGGAATTGCCTCGGCAGTATCTGCCAGGTTTCAGGGCCCTGCTACATACTCGTGCCGCATGAAGCTCCAGCAGTGCTGCTATTTATAGACACCCCCCATTTGCAATCCACCTCTCTCCCTATCGTCGTCAAACATCAGTGGCTGTCAGTGATGACTCTGAGCACTTTAGCTGTCAGCCTCGTTGGCATTGAAGCGACGCATATAGATTCCGGGTGAGATGCATGCAGATTGTGGGTGAGAGCGTTATATCGCGCTGATGATTTTCCTCTACAAATTTACACCTGTGCTCGGATCCCCGTGAACTTGTATCACCCTCCAACTCCTTCGGGACCGAGTGCGAGTGAAGAACAGGAGGAGCAGGGAGAGAGGGGATGGGTTTGTAAGGATGATGTAATTATTGTACAAGATGTGTGCTTGAATGGAAGGAATGCCGGACCAGTTATTGCTTGGAAGAGGTGTTGTTGCGATGTGTCTAAAACCCCCCTTAGCTGCTGTAAAATCACTGTAGCTCACAGCCTCTCGCAGCTTATTGCTTTTATAAAACGATTACTGGCAAGGTTTCATAAATAAACAAACAGCAACAACAACAGAAAAATGCAATAATTCATGAACAACAAATTCTGCCTCAGAACACAGCAGAACGTTTGCCAAGCGAAACACAGATGTAGTAGACGCACAAAGAAAGCCTGCTTAAAGAGTAGGGTGATTATTAGCATTTATCTGCTTAAAGCGCTATCAAATGGTGCAATTGTTGAAGTAGCGTTCAATCATGTTAGCATTCTTCTTTGCTGGTACAGGTGGGTTTTAATCACCTCCATATGCTCTCTGGAAGACCTAACGTGAGTGTCACCATGTTGCAGTTATAATACAACCATCATGTATCTATCATCAGTGACTGTTGTGTTCCAAACATAGCTTGAGAAACGTGAGCATAATAGGCTACAAATAAAAACATGGAAACCAGCTAAAGTAACGTGGTTAACTTACCAGAGGTCGCTGGTGTAGTTTGTCCGCTCTGGATGGAGGTGAGACCGGTGGACTGGGCCACTGACTGACCATGATTGGTATTTCTCCAGCGCAGTGACAGGACACGTTGGGTTCCCCGGCTGCTCCATCATAGATCCCCAGGGTCTCTCTTTGTTTCTTTCACCAGCATCTTTGTGGTTGGTAGCGTACTGTACTCTTAGCTGTTAACCACATGGTCCACATAGTCTGTGTGACGGTCCCGGTGTTGTGTCGAATACTGTTCCCCCCCACCTAAACCTGACCCAACCCATGTCTCTAACCACCAGTAGGGGGCGCTATCATTTGAATTTGTCTTTCATTAACGTCAGCGTGTAACAATCGACCCAGCGCTGCTGTTACGCTGTCACAGCTGTGTGTTTGTAGAGCATTCTTACAACGGGTTAGAATGCGGCTCAGACAATCTTTTTGCACTCAAGACGCTGCTGTTGTGAGACAATTATGCATTTTTTTTACACACTAAGCGGGTTAGAAAACTGATGTGTGGATTTGTGGACGGAAGAAGAGGATCACTGTAGCTTCACACAGTCCTGTGGGCAGCATCCCAGTTCTCTGCCCTCTCAGGGCATTACTCTTCCTCTTTTTTCCTCCCTACTAAATTGATTTAGACTCCCGCTGTTTGGCTCGCTCTCCCTCACAGTGTAGGCCGCAATCCAGCACAAGGTGACGCCAAAGAAGCAAGGTTCATATCTCCCAGGGTCAGTCTTCAACCGCTCCCCTTAAAATAGCTCGCCATCCCCTGTATTCTGCTGCAGAACTCTGCAGTGCCTGCATGCTGCACACCAGCCATCTTTCCTCTCTGTTTAGTCTTTACCCGTCTTTACTTCCCCCCCCCCCCCCCATTTTTCACTCTTATGAGCTGTTTAGCACTTTCAAACACATACAAACACTTTCCTCAGCACAGGATGAGGTCATTGAGGAGAATGGGATGAAAATGTAATTTTGCCACACTCCTTGCCACTGGCCACTGATTATCCCATATACTGACAGATCAACAAGCACAGCCCTGAATGGAGTGTCCAAACCCCAAGACAAAAAGCTGCATTTAGAAAAATGAAGAAGTCTAACACGTCAATACACTTTTTTTTCTAAATATCAGAAGATTTTACATGCAGCTCCAATCACAACTTTTTTCAGAATACATTCAAATCCACTTAGTCTAAGATATTGTAGAATCATAATTGGCCCTATATTCATTATGAAGCAGTGTGTTGGCCTGACTTGCACTTGTTTCATATTTGAGTGCCTGTGAGTGACTTATGTGGTGACATGGAAGTACAGGTACTTAATGATACTGTGTCAGTCTGGTGAAACAGTCGGTATGAAGAGCAGACTGTTTTTAGGTTAAACGTTGACATTTTACTTAACCGTGGTTCAAAGAAACATGGGGCCGTAAATAGAAAAAAGAAAATCTTGGTCAACTGAAATTCGACCTACTCTTCAACCAATCGATTGGACGATGGGACACAAAGAAAAGAATTCTGCACGATTGACTAAATGGCCACAGTGCCCTAAGTGCACTCTACATGGTTACTTGAATTAATTATAAATAAACATATTGATAACATGCCCAAATGAAATGATTAGTAATCTAGATCAAGGTTTTTTAATATCCACCGCACCTAGCCGACCTGATATGACAGCCGATAAGCACTGCCGAACCTGCAAAAATATACATTAATCAACCGATCCCGACACGCAAACTGTCAACTTTATGCACTATAGGAGCACTATTATCAGGACTGAAGACTGGACGAGGACAGAACTGACCAATGAGAATTTGGTCGGACAAGAGCATATCGACCAACCAACCGACCAGATGGTGCCGACCCAAGCAGAAACGCACGTCTGTGTGAGATGTGTAGTGTTGTTGTGATCGCTGTGACGGCTACAGAAACATCTTTCATTGACATCTGAGTGTGTACACACAAACGTCCTCCATGCCAGTCCCTGCACTGGAGCACAGTTGGCTCTGAACATGTTATCACCTGTCACATATGCCTCCGCTCAGTAAAGGTCAACGGTATCCGGACCTCATGATGGTGATCACTGTCATGGTAGATTTATGAATCACATCTCATTACCTGCAGATTTTGACAGGACAGTATCATCAAGCACGGCAAACTCCCAGATCACTCCTCCTCGCATTTCCCTCATCAGTCATACTATATATAACACTATATTACTTACAGCAGCGGTTTACATTAATTAATTTTGTCCACTATGTAACTGTTTCTAGAAAAATATAGTGATATAATCCTATTCATTGTTTGCATATTTTTACACGCCAGTCTTTGATGGAATACCTTTAGCAATAGCAGATAACACAAGAATAAGATTGAAATTCCAACACATTTGCTGTTCTCTTACTCTTGCTTGAAATATGAAATGAATAGATAGAAACAAATGTCTCTTAAGGAGTTGCACCGTGCGAGTGCCGTCACGGTCACCACCTCTGTGGTGTGGCGTTGGAATTAGCACTATGGCCTGGCTTATGGCTGCAGATAGAATGACATGTTAGCCACTGAGAGGCTCGTGGATTACACGCGTAAGCAGATCAGCTTCGGTCCTAAGGTGATTAGATGGAGAATATCAAAACAGGAATTATGACCAAACAAAATCTGCATCAAATCACTGACAATGATATCGCCATGCGTGCGCGTTGACTGGGGTTGGTTCAGGTTGAACGGGGAATATGCAGCTTAAGTATATTTGATAGGAAGACGTGCCAACTGTCTTGTGTGATCATCCGTCCTCATAATCTAGAAGGTCTCTGAGCTAAAGAGGATTCTGAAAAATGTTTTTACAAAATGCAGCATGCCTGGACATCAGCACTACAGAAGCACACTTGATTCGAGTGTCAAAGCCCTGATAGGCAGTTTATCTAGCTCAAATGGGTCACTGGATATTATGACACACTCATCTGTCAACCTTCACTATACTGTATGTGTTCAATTTATGCAACGTTAGTTAAGTTGCAAAATGAACTTCTCCACGTCATTATTTTGCTCTTACGCAGTTTAAAACTCAAAAGAAGGTCTTCTTCATGTGACAAACGTTTGGGTTTATTTAGACATTGCGAACCAATGTGTGAAAAGGTGCTTTGCCAGTGGAATTTAAAGATGGCAGCTAAGCTGTGAAAAGGATGATCTCCCAGAGTAGTGTGAGATGACATTAAATGCCATGGTCTGAAACATATGTTATAGAAAAAAATATTCTATAAATGCTGGAATAACATCACAATCTTCATAGTGAGAGTCAGTAAGGTCGCTAGTTGCCACCTTGACAATGCAACCACCGTCCCAAAAATCGTTTCAACCGTTTATAATGTTTTTTTTCCTCATAATTACACACAATTCAAATGATAAGGAAATGAAAGATTGCATTTTTATAGATTAAGACAAATCTTGTCATTAGTAGTTTTAATAATGTATTATAAGATGTTCAGAGCTAGTGTGATGAAGTTAAACAGCTCATAATTCATCTCTAATATCTATTTATGTGAAAACATTTCCTTCAAACATCTGGATTTATTCAAGTTTCTCACCAACACTACATTTTTACGAGATTACATGCGAACACATCATGACAATGTTATAATTTACCTTCACCCAATACTTATTTTCACTCAACAGATCCTGAACGCATCATAATGTAAGTGAACAGAGCCTTCCTTCGCTGGCCTTTAGCGGTGCTGCCAACGTTACTAGCTCTCCTGTCCATTTAAACACGGGTTGGTTGTTTACAATGTAACATTATCAGAGATCAGCGACTAGAGAAGCATAAAGGCTGATGTCCTGATTGCATATTTTACTCAATATTGGCGGATAACGATCGTCAGCAAAACTTTATTGGTTAACGTTAAACTGTGGAATGAATCCGCGGTTCACACACGTGCCGAGTCGTGAGGGCGGATTGACAGTGGTCTGTTACACCACTATTTATTACTATTATTATACCTTTATGAAAGTCATGAAACTGATGTAATAAAAACCTGTTATTGGAGTCTGCATTCAACTTTAAGGAGGCCGTTTTTTCCCCACATTGCCATGCTGGCTCATCAAGAGATGCTTCTGACAGTTGGTCAGACTCCTTCACAGCCTCCTGGCAGCCATCACATACCAGTATGTGTTACAAGTAAAACCGTCGTAAACACATTATGTTGTGTCTGTTAATATATACGGCAACATTTATCTACTACTGCAGTCTGTCTTCATCTGTGGAGCTTTAGGATGCTCACTCACTGTGCATACTGCTTGCAGCAAACGCTTAACAATAAACAAGAGAGAGCAAGAAAGTCCCAGAAGGTTCTGAACTCATAAGAAGATTGTAGCTTTGTCTTTCATAGTGTGAACGTATCGCAAGAGTTGTCGTTGTCTGATGAATGCGGTTTGAAGCTGCTAACAGTATGCAGCCATTTATATTGGGTCAAAAGAAGATGTCTACAGAAGGAAGTCTCTAGCTTTTGGTCCTTCTGCTATCTGTGCTTTATCCTTTTGAAACATGTTTAACCCATCCTTGTTTATTCTTTTCCTCCCCATCCTCTGACTCCTCAGCTCCCCCCACGTTCACCGATACGCCACCTCAGTATGTAGAGGCCAAGGAGGGGGGCAGCATCACTTTGACCTGCACGGCCTTCGGCAACCCCAAGCCCTCGGTCAGCTGGCTGCGGGAAGGCAGCCTCTTGGTCAGCAGTGCCAAGTATAAGGTATATAACTCAAGCACATCATTCACACAGAGTGTGAGATGATGACAAGGACATCATCGACGCACAAGGGAGAGACAAGGGAGAGACAGAGACAGGAGGAGAGGCCGACTCTCCTGGAGAATGTGTCAATCTATTAGTGAGTCTGATCCTTCTGTAAGAGTAGCGGCTCAGTGAATACATCGGGATTTCTATATTTGCTCTCACTATGACAGAGTTTGGTTTTAGTTTTTAGAATTTGTGTTTAGTGAGAAGAAAGAAGCCTTTGTGTTAAAGCTGCATCGTATCGAGCATTGAGTGCTGCGTGTAAGAATGGAAATGACTCCCCCACATTAGATCAATTATTTAAGCTTTGTTCACAGCAGAGTTATGTATCAGTCGCAGGCAGCAGCTAGACTACACTGTACTCTTCTATAGTGGACTAACATGGAGATGTGCTCTACACTGACTGAAGATTTAGGCAATGCTGTAATCTGAATAACCATTTGGAGTCAATGCAGAAGTCTGCACTCTGATCTCTGTCTGAAGCTGCTGCTTCTTGCTGTCACATGTTTTGGATTGAAAATGAGTCCATTTTGACTTCAGCAGTGTTGATGTGATGTGACGCACTAACCATAGAGATGTGGTTTTTTTATATTTAAATGGCAGAAAAGTTAAAGTCAGCTGATAACTGCATGTTCACACTTGTTTTCATGTCTATCTTAAAACACTATGATCTACAGACAGTGGAGTTCCTCTTTCAGCTAAACTGCTCACACAAGACACAAAACATAGTCCACATCACAAGCCACACCAAACTGCTTTCATCCGCCCAATGAAATAAGAAGTAAAACCGCCCAACCATCACCAAGATCTGCCATACGCAACGTTTCACTGCCTCACTGGGCCCTGTGGGTGACAGTGTGTCGTAAAAGCTCCCTCTGTGTCTGATGCCTAAAGTTACTGTATGCTTTGACCTTTATCAGTGTATTCCTTACGCTGCCTCATGGGTCCATCTTCCATTTATCATGATGTTTACATATATTGTAAAGTGATCGATTGGAAATATATTATTTCTATTCATTTGCTTTACTTTTTAAAACTTTATTTGGACTCAAAACTTAATATGTGTGTGTGTGTAAACTGGATAAAAATAACATTCTTTGTTTGGAAGACCTAAGTTTATGGCCTTTTGTAACCGACGGCCCATTTTAACAGTAGTTAAATGTCTGTGTGTGTGTGTGTGTGTGTGTGTTCAGGTGTCTGATGGGAGTCTGACGGTGCTATCCATCACCAGGGAGGACCGTGGGGCCTACACGTGTCGAGCCTTCAGCCCCCAGGGAGAGGTCATTCACACCACGCGGCTGCTAGTGCAAGGTAGGCACATGTGTCCGTGTTGCTGCGCCCTTAGAAGTGCAAAATATTCATACATGTTCTCACGGCACACACGTCTGTTAATTAAGACATCGTGAACAGAAATTGACTGTTTGAGCACCAAGCATCACGATGTAAACACAGAGTCCAGCTTCATCCATCGACCGGACATCACACAGCCAGGAGCAGGCTGGTTAGTGGAGTAGCTGGGTTAGCTTAGCTTCCATCTCGGCTCTCCTCCCTCTCCTCCCTCTCCTCCCTCTCCTCCTTCTCCTCCTTCTCCTCCCTCTCCTCCTTCTCCTCCCTTTCCTCCCTCTCCTCCTTCTCCTCCCTCTCCTCCCTCTCCTCCTTCTCCTCCCTGCGGCATTTCGGTGGTGTTTGGTCCGAGGGCTGCTGCACCTTTTTCCGATGTTGAGTGTATTCTTTCAATGCTCCAGTAGTAAACAACAAATTACGAAATCCATGGGAGCAAAGCCTTACTTAGTTATCACAAACTGTTTTTTTCATCTGAAAAATGATCAGCCTAACAACGTGAGGCATTTTCCAAACTCTATCAGCTGTCACCAAGTCACACACTGAAACTAACTACACCTCAATCTGACCCTGACTTATGATGAAGCCTGATAAACTGTGTGTGCAACACTATCCACCAGTTTATTCAAAACCAGGGGTCTGACCAGATTAATGAGCATGGAGGAGAGAAAGGTGGCTTCTACGAGGAAAAGTCGAGTATAGTACACAACACTCCAAACACTACAGAATGCAAAACAGGATTACAGTTGTTGGCCTTGACTTTACATAGACAATATCTGCATTTAGGCTACTACAGTTATTTCATTATTGCTGTTTTTACTGTGAGTTTGCATTCAGTTTAATGTATCTGGGTACATTTTGTGCAACATAATAACCCCACTGTCGGTACTGTTGAAGAGAGCAGAGCAGCTAAGGGAAGAGGAAGAGGGAGATAGTCATAAGAGAGAGACTGGTTTTGAAGTATAGAGAGAGAATAGAAAATATTTGTTTCTATAATCAAGAAAGATTGAGCAGATATCTGGGTTTACTATTATCTAGCACAGACTAATCGATAAAGTACGCAGCAAGCTACCAGACCTGTGCACCAACAAGGACTCACAACATGATCTATATTGATCCACAACAACAGAAACAATGTGAGCCCTCAATCCACAGTTCTTTCTTTTTATCTCCGCCGGGAGAATCACGCGACCACTGCCTGTTGATTCCACACTCACCACTCTTAACCGGCCCCCGGCCAGTAGGGGCCGCTAGTGACAACACAGCGAAGTGCATCGCCGACCCAGGAAGTGACGCGATAATTACAGTTCAGTGTGTCGGACAAGATCGTTCATTCTCACGAAATGATGTCGAACGACGGTACACATATTGAGTATGTAGTGCATAGTATGTGATTTAGGGCGCAGTCAAAGTCTGTCTTTTTAAAGAGCTAAATCCAAAATCCTTACTTCATAAACTACCTAATGAAGATGCAGCGTTCTGCACACACTGCAAGAGTACATTTTTAGTTGCGCACAGTGGAAAAGCTGATACCAAAGATCATATTAAGACGGCCAGATAGCAATATACATTAGTATGCCTATGGTGTGTGCATGAGCAGATACATTACATACACAGGACAAGTTAGCGTCCCGTTAGATTGAAATGTGAGCGTATCTGTTGGTGAGATGTGCGAGGGGGGGATCTGCACTCTACTGAGTGTACCTTTCTAGTTTGTACTTAATCAAGTCCCTAAGATCAACAATTTAAAAAGGTATTTAGAGTGTTAATAACCACTCGATAAAGCTAAGAGTCTGCAGCCATGATAGCGACTCTGATGCTACACAACAGTTGTACTTTGACCTAGGTAAATAAAGTCGCGGTGATGGTATAACATTTACTATATAGGTAGCATATGTACATCTTGTATCTCGTTTAAAACATCTACAAAAAGAAATGTAAGACATTGTGGGTTTAAAAAAGCAACTCCAGGTCCGTCTTGTGCTGTTTCCACTGCATGGTACAGCTCAGCTCAGCTCAGCTCAGCTCAGCACGGCTCAACACAGCTCAGCTCAACTCACTTTTGGAACCAGGTCCTTCTCTCTATTTGTACTATCCCCAACTGAAAACCACAAAAACAGTCAAATTGAGTAGAGCCGTGCCTTACCACGCAGTGATAGTTACACATAGCTACTTGTTTAATAAATGTATATGTATAACTTGAATGTCTGTACCAAACCTCATGGCAATGTCGAGACATTCCCTCAAAACAAATCAAATCAACCCCGTGGTGGCGATAGAGGAGGTGGACCAGCTGACAGCACACTAACATTGCTGGTCCTTGAGCTAAACGATAAAGTAAACAGTATTAAGTGAAAGTTTGACTTCATTTGATTAAAGCTAAATACATCCCTTCCCTGCTGGTGTAAAACAGTCACATCCTTTGTGATATCAGCTCGCTGATCCCCCAAGTGTGCTATCACATCCGTGCGAACACAACAGGCTGAGTAAAATCTAAATAGTGCATGATGCAGCAGTACGTTTAGGAGTGGGACTAGACTGGGACTGAAATTAGTTTGAGGGCGGCTAACAGCTGCATTCTACAGCAGCAACATTTAAGACTTGATTGCTTAACAATTGTATTCATACATTTGAGCACTTTATTATTCATAGAGGCCTACGGAGTAAAAAGAATCAGAGGATGAGAGCGTTTCACGCCCGCAGCTCTAAGTGAAATGTCAGCTTCTGTAACTATAACTATAACAATCTGTCTTATCCGTCCACGCTTCTCCACAAAATCAAGACACATTTAGCAGATTAATCATTCATTGTCTGCAACGGGCAACATCATGCACAGATTGCTGCTCAGTCACCTTTTGTTTCTCCAGAAACTGAAAGTAAACACAGCATCAAATGTGTGTCTGTGCAGCGACCTTAGATTTGATACGCCTCACCAAAGAGGATAAATGAAAAAGCAGCACACATGGCATTCCAGGTCATCTCATTTAAAGATTGCTGCCCCAGATCAACACAGCTGAGTGGTCATGACCTCATCTGAACTCGGGGGGAATTGAGGCTTGATCTCTTAACTGAAACATTTTCACCACATTGATTCCTATCATTCTTGTGGAAATTCAACAAAGTAGCAAAAGACATGCTCACTTCATAACAAATGCCAGTTAGACACCAGAAAAGGGACTAAGCAAGAGGGGACTATGAGACCTTAAGCTGGCTGTCGGCCGTATAATGCTCTGCCAAACCAGAGAATTATGCTGAACGACTTCTGCTTCGAGCTCCTTCACTGTGGTGTTTGACCTTCACTGTGCAGAATGATGTGCAGTGTTTGCTTCACATGCATCTGCTCATTTACTTATTGTACAATATATGGACATGACCACGATAATTTTTTACATTATCAACTTATCTTACGATATATGGACATGACCTTGATTGTTTTTGCTTATCTTAATATGATTTAACATGCCACAACATTTTTGCCAACACGGTGCCAGAATAAACAGCACGGTTTACTCCCTACCATCAGATGACTTGCATCAGTTTAATGACATTTAAACATAACTATCATTAGTTGAGCACTCTGCCAAATAATCCTTGTGTCACCAGATCTACTTTTTCATCCAGAGCGATAACCAAATCACCTCATCGGGGCACCACAATTCAAATAAAAATCGCGATCTCGATTTTAGCCTCCCACAACTAAATGAAGATGATTGACATCGATATTGACATTTAAAATGATCCGCTCATAGAAAACGCTGCTGCATACCAAATCAAGCGCTTCCTCAACCAACAGCCAGCCACCAGGGGGCGATCCAGATGTTTTTTGGCTTCCCTTTTGGAGAGCCGTCATGCCGCTACAAGCACACTTCACAGCAGCAGCCTGTGAAAAGCCTTGCTGAATGTTACGGCGGCAGTCCAGAGTGAAACAGTAATATACTGTACATTTTACAGGCAAAACTGACATGCTCTGAATTCGGGAAAAGAAGAATCTTATTGCGAGTCTTAATTTGATAAAAAAGACTTGTACTTTACCAGGAATGAAGAACAACATGGAAGTGAAAGCAGTGCTCTGTTCATTTAAATGTGAAAGTGCAATAAAAATCAATATTGATCAAAAATAAATGTGATTATCATTTGGACGAGCCATACACTACATATTAATGAAATATAGCCAACAGTGCAAATGGCTTATAAGTGATCACAGCAAAGCTGCAGGGCTGGCAGTTACTTCCTGTAGCTTTACGTAGCTGAAGAAGAGGAACAGTTTTGTGGATGCGTAAGTTATTTTCATGCAGTGGGAAAACAGTTGCTTACACTATGATGCATAGAGAGAGAGAGAAGCTCACAACTGTTGCAACTATGTGTCTCTTTACAAAAGGAAAATACAGTCCTCTTTATTCGCTTGGCATGAATGTTGAAGGTGCATTGATTCTACAACACAGGGTTGCAAAATAAAATGCAGGCTAGCCTTTATGCTACAGTAAAAAAACAAACCACTGCTCTGTGGTGTAAGTATGAATATGAGCCCGCTTTCATCAGCTCGGTGCTAGACCAAAGTAGTGTCTGTGTTTTGTGTCAGTCGCTCTCATTCGTCAGAGAGCAGACAGCGAATGTGTTCACAGAGTATTTGCTTTGGCGACTGAGCACCAAAGGCAGTGCTGAGCCGGAGCAGTCGTCTGACCCCGTCCTGTATAATTTACGGGAGAGACGGATTAATAGAGGCCCTCCTGGAAAGCCACTGAGCAGCAGATCAGCTAAGAGACTACAGTGCCAACAAATCTCCAGCACTCAGCTGGTTCCAAATAGGGCGGGTTGGCACACAAACACACACACACACACACACACATGCGCTCAAACACCAACAAAAAACAGTCATCCAACACAGCTCTCGTCCTGCTTGTCCCGCTAAGGGGCTGGCAGATGGAAATGCTGTGCCTGTTAAAGGATCAGGCCGTGGGCTACAGATCAGTATTAACATATGGGACTAGCAGTTTATAGTTGCAACAGAGGCTAAACAAAGCTGTATGTGTGTATCAGTGTGTGTGTATGTGTTTGTGTTTATCCTTGTTTGGACCAGTTATGAACAAATTGGGGAATATAAGGATAAATGCGCGCGTGTGTGTATGCGTACATCGGTCTTCAGGAGAAAGTGTTCAAAGGTTATTGTAAACCAGCCTCTCATAAACGCTGTCTCACAGCTGGCCGTTGAACACACTTTCTAAGGGAACTCTGGATTTGCTATAGATCATATTGGGTCATATTGCGTACCAATGATGATTGCCATTAAATATATTTTGTATTTATACAATAGTATTCTTTCACAAAACTATTTTAAACTGATATAGAAATGATTCAATCAGTCAGTAGGGCTGGGTGTTGGTACTCAACACCTTTACGGTATATCGGCTGAAATAACGCAGTACCAAGAAGTGTTGAAACTTCTCCAGTCAAACAATACCTGCAACCGATCCTTTTTGTACTTAGATCTAGAAAACAAAATGTTTGTATAACTTTGCTTGCAGCCAATCCGGCAAGCGTGGTTCGATTAAATGCAACATTTGACTGGCTGCAGCAGCTACAACCCATACGGTCTGTAGTGTGGCGAAGTCAACATGTACAAAAGTATGGCTCTAGTACACGGCGGGGGTGTGTAATGAAAATATGTGTGGTGGTGGTATTTTACCCAACTGAATGCTTCCAGTCACCCATTGGTTAGTGAACAACTAACTGGTATCGGTATCATGTTCAGAGTTTTGTAATATTTTAAATGAAATAAAAGCCCTAGTGTTCAGTGCCTTATCTCTTCTAGTCAAGCCAAGTCAATTTTATTTATACTGCGCCAAATCACAACAGAAGTACACTCGATAAACTTCATACAGAGCAGGTGTAGGCCATACTCTGCGGCACAGAGAGAGGCACAGATATGACCATACATAATAATAACCATAACAACTATACAGATACAGTAATATAACAAACTATAACAATAGTAGCAGTGGGCTTCAAGCAGAACCACGAAAACGAGCGCAACAACGTTCCAGGTGCAACCATGACCCGTGGCAACCTGCCAGACAATCGAGTCACCAAAAATCTGTATTTGGTGTCGGTGTGTGCACTTCAGACATTGGACCTCTGTCAAGAACAACTGATACGTTTGCTTCTAACTGGCTCAATTGATTCAAGACAACTTTTGGCCCTAATCACAAACCCAGACCTGTCGCATTATACGTAGAGATGTCCATCTTTCTCTGCAGCAGGAATGGAGCAAGAGTTCTAATGCCTTTATCTGAGTTACTTTGTGAGGTTTAATATGTTCCTAAAAACTATTTAAAAACAGATAACTACTATAATCTTCATGCATCAAATGTTCCCCATATCGTCATCACGGCATGGCAGTCTGCTGAGAGCTTCCACTCCAACAGCTGTCTTTATACAAGTCGCTGTTCAGAGGAACATCCTCCCTTTCACCAGTCTAACAGCACCCACTGTGTGATCATCTGTTGATGTCAGTTCCCCTTGACCCCCTCTCATCCCAGTGATGGGCAGCTCCGTTTTTAGTGTCAAACTTATCGTCAAGCCAATCCCTCTTTCTTTCTGTCACAGCACGGCGCTCTGATGTCGTTGGCAGTTTTCATATTTTCTCTTTTCAGATCAAACAGGTAGCCAGCCAACAACTGTACCTGCTCACAAACAGGTGGCATTCATCGAGTTGAAACGAGCGATTTATGACAGATGTGGACGAGAGAGTTTTAGACAGTTTTAGCTATAGCTAAGTGACGAATTCCTCTGGTATATCTGGCAGTTACCAAACAGCTCCAAGTGTAAATGAAAGTGTCTCAAAATTTCCCCTGGATTTTATCCGGATATGAGACACTTGAACTGAAATGAAATGTAAATGTAATCTAAGTGAATCTGGCTTGTAAAAAACATGAAATAAGCCTCACAAGCAAGCAAGAGAGGTTTTGGATGAGAAGATGAAAATGCTCTTGCATAAGGCTGAATTATATAAAATAACTCTGAACAATCAGCAGTTCCTAAACGTCAGTTTTTTTTTCCTCCTCCTTTCACTTTTTTCCTTTCTTAGCTTTTCTTTGCTGACTGCATGGTCAGCTGCTCCTGGAGCAGCCAAGTTTAGAGCCTTGAACCCGGAGTGCACCGCCACTGTTTCATCAATCTCTTCATCACCAATTATCTTCTCAGCCTGTGGATTTAGGGTCTGGTGCCACTACTCCTCCTTTTTGACCCTCGCAAATAGTCTTTTGAGCGTGAGCTTTCGAGTCCCTTCGTCCTTTCTTCTCTCTACTCATCCAGGCCCATCTACCCGTCCATCTCCCCATCCGTCTCTCGGCTTTACGTACATCTGTCAAAATTCTGCATCGTGATTGGACTTTTTAAGCTCATGACACTTTTCCTGTTGCGTAGAAATTTGCATTCAAATGAGATCATTCACACAAAATGGCTCAGTCTGCCTTAGCAGTACTGATGTTAGTATTACCTATTTTGGCGTGGTACTGCCACGTACGCTTCCACTTTCTGCTCTCGTATAAATCCAACCACCCAGTGTGTGGTAAGTAGCTGAAAGTAGACGAAGGTAGAATAGGTTGACCAAACTCAGCACACTTATGGGTGTATTATGTTAGGAAATAACTGCAAATCAAATGTCATAGGGTAAATACAGTATATATTCATGCGTGCAAGGAGGATGATCCATCTGGCCCAGCAAGGATCACTCAATAGATTCTCATAATCCTTTACTTAGTGCAGTATGTGATGTGGCTCTGGGGTCTGCCACAGAGTGGATGCACCGGTGTTAATCCCTGTGTGTCTTCACAGCATGTGCACATGGCCATAAATACCCCACGACGACCCTCGCCAGCTGTTAACTAACTACCGTGAGGTGGGTGTGACGTGGATGAGTGGGAAGTTCCCACTGAGGGAAGTCGTATCGGTGTCACGTCCTCGTGGATGTCACGCTGACCCGTGTTCCCCATGTTGACGGTGCAGTTAGTTTCATGCTGCTTATGTCTCATGTTTTAACATAGCCCTGGTTTAAGAACAAACCGTTGACACGTTGGGCTTGTACACTGAGAATTTAGTATAAGATGGAATACCTGACATTTTACTCTTGTTTGAATAGTAGTTTGAATTTTGAACAAAAAGTGACAGCCCTGCTCCCTAACTTTAAAGGAAGACATCTTTGTATGTCTGTCTGTGTCCTCCGCATATCTCAAGAACCGTTCATCTGATCTACTTCACACTTGGCGGGTGTATCGCTGGGCAAAGACATTCAGCTTTGAAGTTGGTGTCATTTGGACTCGCAACACATTTGATATTACTCTGCGGACTGAGTCGAGCGCGTCGTCGCAGCAGGCCTTTACAGGCTTCGGCTCATTGACCGCAATTGACTTTTGCTGCTGGTTTCTGGATATTTTAACGTTACACCCAAACTCTTCGTCACATTCCTGGAGTCAACGAGCAATGAGCGGTTCTCGACAGCGCTGCAAACAGTACTACCAGGAGCCAAGCCATGCTATTAAAGGAAGACTGAAACCAGTCTCCGGTCTTTATTTTCAAATGAAATAGAGTTTGATCCAATACTGCACATGCGTTGTACCCATAGACTGTATGTAAGAAGTGGACGTAGTGACTTCTTATCATCATCTTGAATTACGTCCGTCGCCATGTTGTTTTTTTCGCAACCAATGAACGGAGGTTACCATATTTGGAATGTGGAGGAGTAACGTAGAGACTCTGTATACGGCTCTGGTAGCAGCAGTGACCTGTCAATCACTGTGTAGCCCCGCCCTAAAGCATACCCTGCTTTATGGTCTATTTGACTCTAAATGGACCATCATTTACTAAATGAACATCATGCTGTATTGAAGAAGACTTGAAACTAGAGATTGAGACCATAAACTCATGTTTACAATGTTTACTGAGGTAATAAATCAAGAGAGAAGTAGAGTCATTTTCTCATAGACCTCTATACAACCAGAGGAGTCGACCCCTGCTGGTCAGTAGAGAGAATGCAAGTTTTTAGACACTCACTCACGCATTGGCTTCACTCGGCAGAACCGGAGGTTGCCGCGTGGTTGTACCTCAATGATATGACGGCGTGTCCTGTATTTTAGCCTCATTGGAGCCAAGAAATTGACTCAGCGTATGTTTATCAAGACTGTTTTTTTCTCCTCCAGGCCCTCCCTTCATTATATCGCCACCAGAGAACATCACAGTGAACATCTCGCAGGACGCCTTCTTCACCTGCCATGCGGAGGCCTACCCCCGCAACCTGACCTACACCTGGTTCTGGGAGGAGGACAACGTCTTCTTCAAGAAGTAAAGTTATGATCGGTTTCCTTATTGTCTCCCATATCACCTCACCCGTCTGTCCCTACTGTTGACCGCAGTCAAGAGTCCTGTCTTATGATGGTGGTTTTTTTCCTGAGATTTTCTGAGCTTTCGCACTGCGAATAAAGGCATCGACCAATCACGATGTCCTGAACAGACAAAATTCAATACGTACACTATAGTGTACAACAACACGGAGGCTCCGAAACCTAGAAGGCAAACGTTGAGAACTCCTTTCATGTTTATAATGAACAGAAAAGTCTATCACTTATCTTTTGCAATGGATCCCTAGAAATATCCGACAGTGCACATCTCCCTCCATTGCCACGAGCGATGATGACATTTCTACTGTTAGCTCGTGGAAGCTGTTCAGACAGACACAATGCACTTGTCCATTCTGCTCACACAGAAAGTGCCCCACAGCCACCAAAGCTTGAAGTAAAGTTAGGTTTGTGATGCACATTCACAATGCATCATATTGCATGAACGTCTGCTTCAACGCACTGTTTTTTTAGGGAGACTGAGCAGACAGGGAGGAAGCCAGCTCTCATGCATTGGTGTAAAATAGCCCAACAAAGGGGGAGTTTTTCTCTTCTTTTACGGGTATGTCCATTTCATCCTGGCTAAAATAATATTCAATTATGGCAAAATAGCAAATGGAAAGAAAATAGTGTAATTTTATTTCAAAAAGCAGAATGTCTACACTTTGAAAATTGTAGAATAATTTTCAAGGGACTTCAAAACAACACAGTGGAAATGATATTATATCTATTTCATCATTCAGCATATATCAACTGAACTAACGGCAGACTGATGCATGTAGCGATAACTGGTTCTGGTGGCTAACGCCGAGCGCTGGTGCTTATCAAAAATGCAACAAGTTTTGCAACTTTAACATGCTGCAGCGTAGATGAATATTTCAGCAGGGACTTGATCCCTGGCCGTGAGTACTCTCCTGTAAATATCGCAGTAGTTTGGTTGACATTGTACATCCACGCTCGGTCAGTGTTATTAACACTTAGCACATGTTTGTATACTTCAGCAGTATTCTTTCTTTGAAGTGTCACAAATACCAGGGGAAAGAAAATAGTTGCAGTATTATGTTTTGTGATACTGTGTTGATTCTCAAAGGCACTATTGATTTTTAATTAATAGTTTACATGCAAAGATTTGTGGCAGACAGTGTCCCTGTTCTCAGATCGTATGCATATGGTGGTGTGTTCTTTATACTATTACAGTTTTCCTAAAATTAGATTTTTAGAAAAATGTAATATTTTGCCTTGCTTACGTTATCGCATTATACCGTGATATATTGAATCATAACCCCTGTATTATGATTGCCAGATTCTTGCCAATACACAGCCCTCGAGCTAAACTCACCGGATAAACTATTTTACCAACTTAGAACCAGGTTTCAAAATGGAACACATGTATACTGTCACTGATGTACGATGCAAGGCTGCTACACAAGGCGACACATTTTCTTGCCCTTTTGAGATCATATCCCAGTGGCTGTAAAGCTCTGGTTTTCATATAAATGATATTCTGCACACAGCTTGATTCATGGTACACAGCAGGACGGTTGATTCCAGAGGAACTGTAAGTCTACTGGCTACAAAGGTAGCTGTAAAACACAGACCGTGAATGCATTCCCCTTGTTTGTTTTTTATTGCCCCATAGCACAAACTCTTTAGAATAAATATATGTACCATAGTGAGGTTGAAGGATTTATTGATACCGATACCAATGATAACTTTGCCGGATGCAGAGATTTCAGACTTTTAAAACCCCTCTAATCCCCCCAGCTTGTAGGCTTTGTGTTGGAACTGAAGAAGGGGTTCACAGAGATCTTGGTTCATGCTTCACTCAACGTCACACACAGTGCCTGCTGGTTTTCAGCAGCAAATTTATACTCAAAAAATCCCATTTTTCAAGGTGCTTGACTATTGTGAGATCTGGGGGGTGTGTGTGTGTGTGTGTGTATGTGTATCTCTGGAGAACTACACTAAAGTCACAGTCATGTTTCTGGAACTACTTCTGTGAAATGTATTCATTTTAATATGGTTAGAATGTGATGGTGGAGGAATTAGTTTTTTTATAAAACTAATTCCTGGCATAAAGAAGCATTTTTAAGTTAAAAACCTTAGCATGACAGTGACTCCAGAAATGTTGTATTATACTTTGTACTCTACCTAATTTTGCATGTTTATCTATCCAACTCCAAAAACACTGGATCAATCACAAATGCATCATTTACAGCAGTGTTTCTCGGTACTAGTACCCTAGGGCAGCGTTTTTCAACCTCTTCTGAGCCGCGGCACATTTTTGACATTAAAAACATCCCGCGGCACACCAACAACCAAAAAAGATACAAAACCACACCTTTTAGCATAATACAGCATATATGCCAAGGGTGTCAAACTCAATCACAGAGAGGGCCAAAACAAAAAATTAGGACCACGTTGAGGGCCAAATAGGGTCAACATCTAATAAACAGGATAGAAGGGATATTGGACAAAGTGCAAAAAGAAATAAGCTACATTCTTTTATGCATACGTACCAGAGCCAGATGTTTGGCATCTTCTCTTGGCTCCCAGTTCATCAATGTCTGGGGTTCTGTGCTGTGGAAACCCTCAGGATGGAGTGAAGGTGTGCATCAGTGAGACGACTCCTGTGTGGGTTTTTACTCAGTCTGATGTTTTACAGACATGTAGCTCTGTCTATAGTTGCATCTCTCCTTTTTTTTCCACATCAGACATACAGGTATGTGTTTATTTGGAGCGAGGGAGGTGGGATGAGTTTGAAGCCAGTCCTGAGATTTGGGTCTGCTGACTGTTGACCAGCCACTTGCGGTAGCCAAGGCAACAGATGTTTTGCATTCATTGGCTTTGCTCCCTCCTCTTCCTCTTTCCAAATCAGACTGGGAGAGTGCAACGAGCAGAGGTGGGGAAGCTCGTGAGAAGAAATGACATCATGCCTGACGGAGACGACACACATTTGTTGTCATTTAACCACTGTTGTGGTGTCACTTTCACAGGACTTTGTTTCTATATAAAGCAGTGTTTCTGCTGATTGAACATAGAATAAAGAGAAGTGTTAATAAAAGCAAAACGTCAAATCAAAGATCATTTGCAAATTGCTCATGATTGCAACTTTTCAAAGGTCTGCATATTAGAGCTAACATTTCAGAGAGAAACATGAGGGAGAAACAGGGATTTGTTGGCAAAGGCAACATTTATCATAAGTCCACCCTTTAGTCTTCACTCATTCATAATGAGGCTGCCAGGAGCAACACAATCTGCATCACTTGCCGTGTCTGGAGGCACTGAGACTCGGCTTGTTCCAATTGGCGATCGTATCGTATATTATGGATTGAAGGGATGATTGATGATTGTTTTTCTCCTACATCAATATTAAGGGGATTTTAATTACCTTACTAGGAGAACTAAAATGTTATAAAAAATAATCTCCAGACTCTGAGCCCTGCTGTGCATTTGGAGATGTTTCTGGTGGAGCTAAGCCCGGTTAATCAGCACCAGTGACGATTGAATAAACAATCCTTATAACAAACCGGTTTCCGTCTCTTTTCCGTGGATCTGCCCCCACATCTCCGTGCTCCTTATGCCTGCTCACTGAATGGCATTTCTTCCCTTTTGAAGCTTTGATTGAGGTTGTCGAATGAAACTTTGATCGTCTGTTGTCACATTTTATGACTTTTGTCCCCCTATAAAAGTCTGGAAAATATGATTTTGTGTTACTGTGGTTATATAAATGTAATTAATGGTGCTGTTAGAATGCTGCTGGACTGCGCCATTAATACAGGTGCAAGTCTGATGCAAGCAGGCGACGGTATTTAACCGCAGTGACATTTTGTCTTTTGAAAGGATAAACGCCCAACAAATATGGATGGAAGCAGAATAATCGACCATTGCACTGAATGTTTTCTGTTAAGTTATTAATAATAATATGAATGTCAAAGTCAGGAATGAAGCTTCAAATTGCAAACTATTTGGTACAGCCCCAGTTATGGATATGATTTGGATTGTGATATTAAAGGTAAGAAAAAACGTTAAAGCGAAAACGAAACTGTTGCATTGTCCCACCAAACACACACACAAACACACACACACACACACACACACACACGCATACACACACACTTTTAAAAGGGAGCCATTGTTTGAATAGAGGAGACATTACTTTTAAATACAAAGATATTTTAAATAAAATGTTCACACACCTTGGTAAATGTTGATTTACGTTAGTTGAACTGCAGGGCTTACAAAAAGCTTCAAGGTTCAAATTATTTCACACTATGTGTCGGAGCGGATCCACACTGTGCACCGTGTCATTTCTCTCACAATAGCGTAGTGAACTGATTCAGCAGCTCCACTCAGAGACACTGATAAGCCTTAAGAATTACTCAGCTGTAAGAATATGCAGCTGGTGGGTCTCCCGTCCACAGGATCTCAGCTCTGACTCACATCTCATTAATCCTTAGCTTTACCTACGGTGGCACTTTCTACTCATCTTTTCCTTCTTTTTTATTATATCTTCCCATCATTTTTGTAGTATAATGCTTATATGTGTTTTCTTTTTCCCGTTGATGATGTGTAACAGTTTTTATAGCCGTGCCAACGATATTCAGATGTTGTAGTAGATTATCATGAGAAGAGTATTATTATTATATATATATATATATATATATATA